GTAATACTTTTTAAATTCCATTTAATTCTTCTATGAGCGTAATAATTTTATTTTATCTAATTTTTTTTGACGTCTGTTAGGGATAAGTTTTTATCAATCATAAATATCTATATAACTCTTTCTAAACTATCAGTCGGTGTTAATCTTATTGAGTCACACTTAAAGTACTTACACATAGGGAAGGGCAGGCCATTATAAATCTATCGAACGCCTACAATCAACACAATACAAAACAGCACAATATAAATCATAAACGTACATCGCTATCTCTCAATCCTTCGACAACATGATTTTTAACACCCACTTAATATAATACAAAACAATAAGCCCCTTTACGTTGCAACTTTCGCTATTTCTCATATGCTAAGCTGAATTTTAAAACTCATAATCCGATTGTAACAGTTTTCTATCGATAAAATCATAATCTTTATATACGCAAAATGTTCAGTGAGTTCCATTTAGTTGTGGTTACGATAGAACCTGTGTAAGTATGGACTGAACATTAGCAAAAAACAGTGGTAACTGGTTGTAATTCAATACAATACAGCGCTATTAAATACCGCGTCCATTCTGACATGTGGGCATCAGAAAAAAAAGTAAATCGAAGTTCTGAATCAAAGGCATTGGACAATGGTCACGGGAACCAGGATTCTGTATAAAGGAGCAGGTAGAATTTGATACACTGCAATCTTTATGTCAATCAAAATTTCGAAACGATTCTGGTAAAATTTTATATACCACCTTTTAATTTATCTAAATTCTTCAATATAAAATATTTGAAAATAGAGTTTGGAAATAATTATATTTTTTATATATATAAAATATATTCAGCAGGAGATTTTAAATAGGTTGAATATCAAAAAAATTTATAGTAAACTGTCATAAAAGAAAGTGACACTCGTAAACCCTTTCTTTGGGAATTGGTGAAAGGATTTATTATAATGACACATAATAGTTATTTTGCCTAACTATGAAAGCCAACCCTATTCTGTATTGTTGGTATATTATCGATACTGGTGTGGGTGCGAACTTCTGTCTGTTTGCCGAAAAAAAAATCCCTTTGACCAATTGTTTGTCAAAGGCTGGTATGATTTTTTGCCCAAGTGTTTATCGAAGGTTGACCATGGGAAAATATTAAAGATTCAGGTGCCCATAGCAGGTTTGAAGCCATTGTCAACCTGTTCTATGTGATCTTTTGATAGGATCTTTATATTTTTTGTACGGCTATCAAATATAGATCATATAAAATGTTTACATAAAACACAAACCATGTATTAACGACCGGTGTTACCTAAATCCCTTTATCGAGCCAAATTACAGCAACCAAAGTTTAAATTGTCTGCGTTGAACCGTAGACATTAACAAATTAGCATCAAAGCCTGACAAAGATGGACTCCTCACAAACTGTCCACCCACTCTTCGGCTATTGATCACGGCTTACAATAAATTAATTCATGTTATGAACACTTTTTATTCTTTTGTATTTAGTAGAGTGTTTATTTTACTAGCCGTTATGGAGTCTAATGGGCGGACATTGGTCAAAAGAGATCTGGGTCACAATGAACGTTGAATTGAACGAATACTGAATAGATCGTTTGAAAGCTTTTTGTTTTACTTTTCATTAAAGTTCTTATTACAAAATAAAAAAAAAGAGTTCTGTAAAAACGATTTAACAAATGCGGTCAACGATCTTTCTATTCAGATTATATAAATGAATGCAAAGGTGCTATATTTGAATACCATAGAAATGTAAACATCGACATGTTTCCAATAATATAGATTACCGGCACTCGATAAGTCTATTTGAAGAGTAATTATCTTTCATCTTACAAAGATTATGTTTACCTCAACACCTTGAAGACAAAAAAAGAATGTTTGGCTACTGTTTCTATTGTTTGTAATGCGACTTGTATTGTTGGAAAAATAATTCTTTTGTCCAACCTCTTCTCCCAGAAAGGATTGTTTGCTTTGCATCTTCAGAAAGAAAGCCTGATGTCGTCCACGATACAATTGTGTGTCCTATACTAATTTTAAATGTATATCGCCAGTCTTAATACCTCCAACGTTGCTTGATATGAGCAATCTAATAAATCTAATTTAAATATCGCCTGGACCTCCTCTGATACAACATATGTAAATGCATACATTTATTTCGATGGCAAAAAACTCTTTCCGATACGGACATTTAAAAAGACTAAAATGAATAAAACGATTGGTCCGGCTTTATATTCGGAACGGATGGTATTTGCAGGCTCATTATTAAATACTAAATTAACTTCATTCCCATAATTTAAATACCATCAGAATAAATTATCCAATATGTTCGTATATTTTTATTTCCCATCCATATCTAATGGATGAAGGATGTCGACTGGTGTATTTTGTACCATTTATTTATTTATTCCTTTGACGAATTCATCTCATTGGAGACGTTCGGTGACGATTGTTCGGTTTCTGTTAGTTTCTCACGAGTTCTGTGTAATTAAAATTAATATACAGGGCGTGTCATCAAAATGACTATAAACAATTGCAATGTCTTTTTCATTATAATAGTATAATTATGAAAGTCTGGTCAAGTTCTGATTATTAATAACACGCCAGAGTTATGAAGTTATATCAATAAAAAAAAAATGATTTTACTTTAATATTATTGATTTATAGATATATAGTAATAAATCTTTTAGCGTATTTGAGATAAGTATCATTACTATTGACGTTTATTTATTATTTTAATGTGGATGTTCTATATGTATATAAAGTATCAAGATCGTTGAAGAGCTCATAATTTCTAGTCTGAAAGGATCAAGATGGAACGTTCCGTTTGTAAATGCGTTGCTTCGATATTCGCTTAATGAAGACATATTGAATCGCCAAGCGGCAAAAGACAAGATATAGGCAGTGTTTTAAATTGACGTGCGGCTCTTTCATCCAGGATACTTAAAGGATACAAAAATAAATAAACAATGGATTGAAACAAATTAGAAAGTAAGTATATTAGGATGATACATTTTATACATGTCCCGTTTTACTTTGTAATTAAAAAGTCGACGATGCGACGAAAACCCATGTCAATTAGTTGTTTGAATCGAAACAACGAATTGGTCCGAGATTTATATTTTATTTATACGTGGAGTGGAAGCGGTGGGAAAGTTAACTTGGATTTTTAAAACTTTTCAAAAGTTCAACTGACGCTTACCGTCTAGCCTCGCACCTGATAAAGTAATTTGACGATTCACACTTTTGAGGAGGGTTAGGGATTAAGTAAAAAGGGTTTACGTCAATTTTTACTGAAACCTATAAAACGTTAACGCAATACGTTCATTAATTTTATATGTTACTTATATTTAAAAACCGTACACACAAACGTAATTGCAGGGGTTAGCATTGTTGGTACTAACAATGAGTACCTCAAACCCCATACATTTAAAATAAGAACAAAACGTGTCATCGACGAAATGACGCGTGTCGACCAATCGGGCGCGAAGGCGGCTGTCGTCGATGACGTCACACCAGAACCGACCAATCAGAACAGCCTCTCGCCTCCGGTCAACATGCGCTAATTGCCCATGTGTGCGATAACACTAGAAACGAGAAGAATTCGTGCGCATACGCATCCGTGTAAGAAATTCAACGGGACTTAATTAATAATTAAATTATAATTATTTTCCATACATATGTGTCTTATATATTACAAATTTGTTACGATATTTTATTATGTTGACCTTTATTTGGATACAAAGGAAATAATTCTCATGTAAAATGTATTTGACCATTCCGTGTAAAGTATGTTAAACATGTAAGTAAAGCATGGGAACGTTGTACATTATAATAAAATACGCAATTAAATTAAGATAACGCCTGACCAGTGAGAAGAGGCAGATAGAACAATGGTTGAGCAAAAACATTTCATTTGTGTAACTATTTTTTTATAATTTAAGTATTCTTTCAGTACGTATAGATAATAATTTTAATTTTATTTAAAGTGTAAATATAGTTTTTGAATTATACTTATAAATATATAAATTAATGAATTTATTAATGAATATTTATGAAAATTTTATTTTTGTATTCGAAGTATGTGAAGAAAATATTATTGTATTTATTTAAATACTTTCTCTAGTATCTTATTTTATTATTTTTGTATCGTTAATGGTGTTACACTGTTCATTGATTTTACTGAATTGAACGAATCAATTAATAAGAAGTTAGCACTAACATTATTTTTATAAAATATTTTATAATACATATATACTAGACCATTTGATTTCTTATATGTATACTTATACAAATATTGTAACTGGGTTCTTGACTGTCAATTATAATAATTTCTTGTTTGGAATAGAATAAAGACAAAAAAATATTTAGTTTTATATTTATATATATTTAATAATATCTTATTAGGTAAAAAATTAATCGTTTTCGTTATAATGATTTAATGATTAAGTTTTGCTCTGTAGCAATATTAGTAGAATCTATATTTTCTATAGAAAATATATAGGTATTCGTAGACTAAAAATTAAATTGTTATAAACAAACTCCGTGTGTCTCATTAATTTATACATTTTTTATTAATTTAGCTTTTAACAAGAAGTGTTTGAATAATTTTAAGAATTAATAAAAAAATACTTTCATAATTTCTAACATAGAAATGCAATCCCAAATATATTTGAAATTTAATTTTTGTTACCTTTAAAAAATAATATTTGGTTATCAGAGTTTTCATTACAAAATATCCCTCAGTTAAATACGTGAGGGTTGTTTTTTATCTTCCCTTCAAGTTCGGACAGATGACCACGTCTACAAACATTGACGCACCGCTTTAAGTAGCACATCTCTGAATAGAGTTGAGATGAGCATGTTGCATATCACCAGCTTTACGTACATTTATATTCTTTACAATCTCATATCAATTCAACATTATATGAAGATTTTATATATAATTTTGTCGTATTTTTAAAGTTTGTTTAATTATAAATAATGTTTATTTATATATAACTCACCTTGCGCGATGCGTACAGCTGGCATCTTGATTCTCATCTTGATTTGGTCACCTATTTTTATTTCTTCGATGATATCTTTATCCTAAGTAATATTATCTGTATATCGCTATCAGCGCAACACTTCACATATGCCGCCGTCGCTTCGGCGACTGTGTATTAAAACGTTGTTGATAACAAATATTTCACAAATAATCCAAATAAAGTCCGTCGGCTGTGACCGAGAGGGATTAAAGTCATTTTAATATATTAATATACTCATATTGTTAGAGTAAATTATTCTTATATTTCTTTTTCATTCTTACCGATCACAAGAAATGAGATGAAAAAAATAAATTATAATGAAAACAATTCATATGTTATCAAAACACGATAATAATATCTAATCTCTTCACAGACGTTACAGAATTTTTCTCAATCATTCCACTTTGTTATAGTATCGTAACACTGAATTTAGAACACTTTACATGACGCTAAGTTCGTATGAGTTATGTCGTGTGAGTTATAACGCGATGTATTCGCGTGCCGTCAGGTGTATGCCGGTCCGTCCGAACTCGCCCGCTGTCCGAGACCGTCTGTCCCGTGTCCCTTCGCTAGGGCTCCACGGGTCTCCATCGAAGCCTCCGTCTCACTCGGACGGCCGATCACGGCGCGTGCGGGTCCGTACACTAGCCAGGGGTTACTCGCGGTCGACTCTACTCGGCTCTATGATAGAGACGACTCTACACACCCCCGACTTGTGTAGAGCGGGTGTGAATGGGACGGTATGTTATCAAGAGTGTGCCAGTGTGCGTGCGGGTGGGGGCGGAGATGCATACAAAAGAAATGGGATAATATTTGCTTGCATATTTCATGACTCGATTAGGAGATGGAATTTTTAATTGAATGGACGTTGTCGCACGGTCAGTCGTGATGACGAAGGTTTTAAGGACGATTTACAGAAACGTTTATTAGTAGCGCCGTGTAAATATTATACAAGTTATGATGTGGGTGTTATTTTAAAAGGATTTTTTCTTTGAAATTTTATATACTGGTCATTGTTGATTATAATTCATATGTTTTTATAAAAAAATAAGTCATTATGGTAATTGGATGAATAATTGTACTTTATATAGCGTTTCGAACGCCCATTTTTGATCAATATAAAACAAATGTCCTTGACAATAATTATATTCAAACATTTATGAATTCGTGTTAATTGTAAAAAATATTATTTGAACTCTACGTAGCACACAGCTACGAATCTACGGACCTTGTAGACATGTTTGATAAACAATTCTAAATTTCTAAATCATCTTATTATTATTACTATATTATAATTAGTATATTATAAATATCAAAAACGTTATAAAACATAAACAGTTGCATCAAAAGCAACACGTTGTTATCCAAGACATTTCACTCTCACTCTTAGAACTTTGTGAGCTCATTTTTTACCGCGTTATTTTACTTAAGACGTGAAACTTATCTCAGCGGTCCTTGACTTTAATAAGTTTTATGACAGCGGCCCGACTGGCGCGAAACTGGGAAGCAACTTTTTCATAATTGTTTCTCAACTGACTTTAATACTGAAACGTTCGATTATTGAAATGATTTCAAAACTTTTCGTTATGAAAATTTCACTTTTATTTCTTATTCGTATGTTTTGAATGTATTGATTTATCTATCATTAATTATAGCTAATTATTTTGTATTAAAGAATAGAGTGAAATTTGAGTACCGACATAGCCAAAAAAAAAGAGGTAAAATTCAGTTCAAGTAGGCTGGACAGAAGCTGTATGGTCAGTTCGTGTCCGATGTGACCGATATATCGCTGTCTCTTTCTAAAGGTTTCACTTGTTAGATGAAAATAGAGACGGGTATGTTAACGCTTTTCTCATGTGAAAACCTCCGGATAATGTATGATGTATGTTCATCCCTCTCATGTGTAGGTTTATGAGGAAAATGTGAAAGGGATGGTCAATTTATTGAGGCGCTACTCGACGCTAGGCGGCGTGGAAAATCAGCTTGAAAATGAACCCTCTCGAGGGTTTGTTACTTGGTCGAAGGATTGAGTACGTGAAATAAGTCGATAGTATTCACCTCTCAGTTAAAATGTTCATTTGTTCTGCATTAGCATTGTAAAAATATACATTTTATGTTTACACCTAATATGAAAATTTATTAAAAAAAATAATACTAATAAAAAAATTGCCATTTAATTGGTTTTTTCTTTGTCTTGTGTGTGGTTATATCTGTTAGTGTAAAATAAGAAAACTAGGTAATATAATCACCACTATAAAAATTTCATTCGCTTGTAAAATAGTCGTTTAACAGAAGCAATACAAATAGACTGCCTATCACTTTGATATTATATTTATTAAATTAAAATAAGAAAAACTCACAGAAGAATTTCTTTGGACCTAAATTAGTACTACTTAGTAGTAGTCCACTTACTTATATTAAATATAATCGTTCTAAAAATGTGTTTTATAAACAATTTTAACGGGTAAACTCACAGTAGGTTACTCAAATTGCATGTCAAATCTATAATTGCATTTGGGCATTTTTTTGCTTGAGACAGATGTGTCGCAACTCACAGGATACACTAAATTGCTTGATACATGAGACGAGAAATAGTATCGGATGTGACGAGTTTTCTTATCATAAATATCAGAATTAATCGATGTGATGATGTTATATTCTATACTAGCTATGATATATACTGCCTTCTTATAAAGCAGCGAGTACTACATTTATAAACAGCATAATATTGGCAATGTATTATATTTCAAGTATATTCTCTTGACACCTATATATCGAATTAATAAAGTATTGTAATATTATATAGAAAATATAAAAGTACGTTTTTGATAGCTAAAGTATGACGGTTACACATAGATTTAGTGAAGCCATCTGATTTTCTTTAAATTTCGAAGTTGAATCCATCTACTTGCTACTAATTGGTAGCCTGAATTTAGAATCATTTTATTATGTGAACTGTTTATATAGAAATAAAATATATAAAACAAATAAAGTATTGTAATATTTTTCAGAGAGAAAATGACTAATTATATATGTATAAAAATCGTTGATTTATTTAAGTAATTGGTAAAGAATTCTATATATTTAAAATAATCTTAATTTCACAATTAATAAACAAAATTCCGTCTAACTTGGCAAGATAAAACACAGAGCTGAAATAACTTAAGCGATTCTTTTCAAGGGCACATGTCACCTAATGTCGCCAACTTCTATTACCACCTACCACCATGTTCCCATACAGAAAATTAGACCCTATTTTTATACATTTAAGGTTGATTTTCAAGCAAATTCTTAATAGCGGTTAAATAATTTTTTTGTCTTCAATATTTAAAAATAAACACACCCCTTGAAGCTGGTAGATTCGTTACATTTAGTCGTAATAGGTAGGGGTCTGTTAGTGAAATGGTTAAAAAGATTTATTGAGAATATTTAATTTATTTATAGAATATTAATACTTATGTCCGAGTGTAGAAATATATCACACAGGACCGTAATAAATACCCATATACAAAGGTGAGCAGATTTAGAATTTAAAGAACTGAAAAATTTATGCTTGTTGCTTAAAAGCATATCGTTTGAGAAAATTGTTGATGATTCATTTTGCTTTGATTTGATCAATCTGTTTTATATACCTAAGAGTTATACCACTATGATATTTATACCATTTTTACAACAACTTGAATATTTTTATCATAATATATCACATATTTATTAATGCTTACTAATACTCAACAAGGAGTAGTTCCTAGTTCCTATATTGTTTTGTGATACATGGTTATAAGCACATCTTCTTCTTTTGTTATGTTTTTCTCCTGAATAAAGTATCAGTAGTTCAAATTTATTTAAATCTATTTAATAATATAAGTATTTCTTTTAGACTTGAGCGTTACACGAACATTTTGGGGTGAATTGTTGAGAGACATATTGAAAACTATAGTAAGAAGAGACGTCAAAGTTATAATATATTATTATTATTAATATAGGTACTAGTTCATTTAATTTGATCTAAAAGACGTTCCATAAAAAGTATTTAACCTTACAAGCAAAACATATTTCTATAAAGTCTAATATAATTACGCACAAGCAACCACATCTCATCTGCCCGTGATCACGGTTGCTGTAAAGTGACCGAAACGTCGGGAGTATGCAGTTTTATATCAAAAATAAAATCGCGTAGTACATCCAAACAATATTAGTTTCATTTTAATGTAAATTAAATTTTGCACTTAGAAATTTATATTAATAATTATAGATGATTTTATAAAGATTTGTGTGTTTGTATTAAATACTGTGAGTCAACTCGCCAACGCACATTAAACGCTATTACCAAACACGAAACAGCAGTAAGTACGAATTGAAATCTGACAGGCTATGAAAATAATTAAATTATATTCATACATTACATAATATTAATATATTATAACTTACAAATAAGTGTTAAAGTATGCTAGAAATATAATAAGCTTCATAAATTATTAATATTGTCTTAGTTTCTAATTTCGCAAAATAATTTATGTATAATATTGGACGCGATTGAATATAAATATATACGTATATACATACAACATCTATGTGCTATATATTGACACCCAAATACACTGCAATGGAAAGGAAAGTCAGCATATGTCTGTATATCTCGTGCTAATACTACTCATATATTTTCAATGATAATTAAAATAAATTAATTATATTTTTATTACATTAATTACTTATAACAAATCAATCACACGACCTCCCGATCTATGACATATAAATGTCAGATTACCATATTAAATGATTCCAGCAATGCATCCGTTTGACGCCCACAGTTTTCTCACAAGCTGAATCATCGTTGCAAAATATTATACGTTCGTTAATACTCCATCATGAGAATAAATCCTATGGATTCACATTGTTATCCTACGTCTATGACAATGTTTTTAATGAGCTCACAATTCAATGAATTTTGCTTGTAAGACAACCGTTTAGATTACTAAAGGCGTCAACCATGAATTTTACTTGTACCTATCTAGTATACATAGAGTATAAAACTTAATTCTTTGTAAAGTAAATTACTTTAATATACCATTTATTATAGTAAGGGTATACTTGTACTATGGTATTATTATCTAATCGTATTAAGTAGCAGCAGTAACCCTTATGAACGCTTGGTACGAGCAGGCACTGGCTATTGACCGGCCATCCCCAGTAAGGTCATTTGGTTCAGAATATGACTAATATTTTTCCTAGCATTAATTTTCATATTATATTTAACATATATTTAATATGAAACACCTTCAAGAAACTTTAAATTTAGTTCCAATACTAATTTGTCATAAATTAAAACTGTTATTCTTCAACTCTTTATTTTTAACAGTTTAAGTAAGTTCTTTTGTATGACAGAATACTATATAAATACTGAAGTTTTATACTAAGAATAGATAAGAAATTCTAAGTATTTTAATTAAAACAGTATTTCCACTCGATTGGAACTGTTACGTAATTTACAAAATGTTAGACATAAAGGTTTCTATGGCGATGTTTAAAGCACCCTCTGTAAAAATACCGAGATTTCGGGTGACGGCGGCGAGTGGTACCATTTATTGACCGAAGAGACGGCTACCGTCAGGGATAAACTTGAGGTCAACGGTGACTCACAGATATTTTTACGTATTTGTACCTTTTATTTAAAAAATAAGCATCATATTAACGCAACCCACTTAACGAATTCTTGAAATGAAAAAATGCATTTAAATAGACAGTATTTCGTTATCTAATACGTAAGCGTTAATTCAATATAATATATAATTATTACTAATATATTAAAATAAATGTATATATTAAAACAAAATCAATGTGATAAACAACGAACAAAAAACCTTTGTTTTTTTTTTTAAGTCATTATTGTCATGATGTCAATCATGTTCGACCTCCCGACCCTGCCCCGTGGTCAAGTTCGATTCCTAATTCATTCCTGATGACACTGTACAAGGTTGCACGAGAATAGAATTTGCATAAGCCACAGTATTATAAAAATTAAGACATTATTGTAACATTCTATTTCAGTAGGGCTATAAAACACTTTAAACAAATTACCGATTGATTAAGTTTATATTTGAAATTTAGATTTAATTAATATCAAAAGATATGTTTACGAACATAAGGAAAAGCTGTTTAAATTTAAACTGTACTTAACAAATTTAATATGCTCGTCCCTTGTTTTTTTTTTACTTTTATAGTTCTATAATAGGATAATTACAAGGATACTGATATTGCAATTAAACTACGACACTCACAAAGAGACATCTTGAATAATGACCGTCCAGTCAAGAAGGGGTCACAGTTTTTGTTGTCTTGCAATTATTTACAATTTACCTCAGTGTTAACAAGTTTAAATGATGACTCTTAAAATCAAGCAGTAAAGTTCATTTTGGAGTGTCCTATAAATCAATAAATATTTGTTAAGAACGGTTGTAATATTTGTTTCCTTGTTTTCAAATAACGAACATTACCTTATAAAGTAGCTTTTTGTTTTGACATCTTTTAAATGATTTTACTCATGTACCTACTATGTAAAATTTACAATAAAATTCTTGAAATCAAACATATATATTGGGAAATCGTTAACAATATAAAATGTATCACATTATAATATGCAACTCGAAACTGATGTTATCTTAAGATAAAGGCAAATCTATCGCAAAATCTCCAATGTCAAAGCATCAATATATCCGAAGATGAAGCCATTATAATGACACCCAGTTGTGAATGAACTGAATGGCATTATTAGTTAAGAACTATTGTGTGAATTCGTCTCAAAGTAAATGTTTTGACAATAAAAGCCGTTGCGTATTGAGTTACTTAAGGGACAATGCTCCTGTAACAGTACAAAAAAAGATTTAAAGACGTTTAAGATAGACAATTGGCTTAGTCGTTTAAAATGTCGCTTCTAAATGGTTAATAGAGACAATTATCTTAAGATGTTATAACAATATAGATACTATTAAAATGAAAACTATGAAAGAAGAGTGACGGATCTATGTATGTTTGG